ATTCTGCCTGGAACTCTCAAGAAATACAGTCCCTGCTTCTAGATTGGACGTCATAGCGCATTCAGAACTTCAGATTCTTATTTTATTGCTATATGTCCATTTCTCCAGCAGCCTTCAGCTCATGATTTGGAGGACAGAGCAACGATAAGAAACTAGGCTTAGGCTTCTCCATCAACCCTTAGCCCCATTTGAACAGCCGAGCTTTAGCTATCATGCTGTGGGTTTAACCCTCCATCCACAGGATGACACAGAAACTCTCTCTCTCTCTCTCTCTCTCTAACTGTATGGTTATTTTTTTAATAGTAGGTGCTTATGGTGGGTGAATTACACCACACACCCTTGAAACATATTTTCCATTATTCGGGTTGTATTTTAACTTTCACTGGAAATCTAGTGATTGATTGCTTTGCTGACTGCGCAAGGCTGTTCAAGACTGTTCAAGACTGTTAATCATATGGAATGTAACTAGTTTGTAAAAACTCGTGTTCTTTCTTAGTCACAGATCATACTAAAAGAAGTCGTGATTATGGGGGTAACACCTCTCGGAGGAGGTATTCAGCTCTTCTTTTCTGAATTTGAAACAGAATTTGGCTTTGTGGTGGATGCAAGGGAATACGATTGTTTATCATGTAGCTTTATATAATAAACGTGGGAAGCATATTTGACAATCTGAACGAAACGCTTGGAAATTATACCATTTTTTTTCCTATTAAAGCAAAATTTTGGTAGCTCGGACGAAACTGCGAGTCGACCTTCTATTTGGGAGTTATTAGACAGGAGAGAACCATCATACATTAATGATTCTTCGTGCGGATTAAATCACAGAAATTGTCTTGCCTCTGGAGATCAGCCAGAGTGAACTGCTAAAGAATGATGTGCAGATGTTTTTTACCTATAATAATGATGTGCAATGCGGATGACTCAAGCGGCAATGAGGAGCACGATTTCCTGAGAATCAGCTTTTGATGTTCAACAGGACTAGGATGGTTCCACAGTGCTTGGGATTTAATGAAAGCAAAAACAATTTTTCAGCATGGCAGAAGTGTATTAGGTGTCAACTTGCATCCCAGCTTCCTTTCATGCAAGCCCTTAAATTTGAATGCTCGACAGTTCTTCACCAACCTTATTTATGGTCTCATTGGACTTTTCACTGCCAATTTTGTCTACCTCAGTCGTTTCTTCACCACCCTTGTTGAAAGCTTCAATGGGTTCTTCACTACTGTTCTCTCCAGCCTTGTTGGGTTCTTCACTAACCTTTTCAGCAGCTTTAACTTCCAAAGGCCCAAGCTTTGCTTCAACATCCTTGACTTTGAGGATTAGAGATCTCGCATCCCTAGCATCTGCTAGTTGACCAGAGGATGACTGTCATAAAGCATGAAAAATGTTGCTGCCGGTTAAGTATTGCCAGGAATTTTACATGCCACATTTGACAAATACAATAAAAGAAAACAAATTGTGTACTTCGTTGCAGTAGGTGTTCCATGATCAAAATAAATTTCATCATGCAGTTCCCTCGTAACATATCAAACCCACTGATGAACAACAAGCAAAAAACCCATATACCAAAGTAGCTTGGAAAATAACAGCATCTGCCACACGACCCTACCCAGTGTGGAAAAGCTCTAAACAACAAAAACAACCAATTCTCAAAAGCTTTAAGCATTGATCCAACAAATGTTAAAAATTATGTATGAGTGTGGGAATGGAAACCTCGATTCATGTCCTCAAGTCCATTCACAAGGCCAGACCGGGTAAGGCTTTGCTTAAAGACATGCGTTCAAAAACTAATATAGCAACTAGTGGCATTACAAGTTAGTGTATACAGCCATTCAAGATTTGTCATAGTGAAAAAGAGGAATGACAAAGGTTCTTGATCATGCCTTTTGAGTTAATAATGAAACAAAAACGTGGGAAGCTACCGCAAAGCACCATGGATGTTCAAAAATTGTATAAGAAAAACAGCATATAATCAACTACGACTCACCTCCACTATTTGGTCAACACGTTTTTTTAGATCCTCCTCTGATCCTCCCTTGTGAATACTTTTGAGAGTATATAGCACGTGTGAATGGAGATTGTCGGAACGATGTTGCTGAATTATAGAATGAGGCATGGTGGACTGACAACCCACTGCATAGAAAGGACAGCTCACAATCTTCATAGGACAGACAGTTATGCAGTGCCGATCCATTTCACGTCTCATGATGTTTTCTGAGCACTGCTGCTCACATGGGATTATTTTGAATGGACAAGCTGAATCATGCTTCTCCACATGGCTTGCACAAAATACTGTTGAGCACCCCTCATTTGTGCAGTTCATGGTCCTAAATCCACAGTGGACAACATGCTCAACAAGCTCTTCAGCAGTGTTGAACTTCTTATCACAATGAAAAATGTTCTTGAAGTCAACATTCTTAACCAAAATCTGTGCAACTGCTTCTCTCCTGTCCAACAACCAAAACCCATTTATTTCCATCTCTTGCACGAAATCATCTATTTTATCTTCTCTCTTTTCACTCAGTAACCATCCTGAAACCCGACTAAACAAATTCCTTTTCAAACTCGCAAAGTCATCAACCATGTTAGAAATGATATCATATGGATGGTCGGACACCTCCCCATATAGATCACCTTCTAGAACAACTGATTCCGCAACAATACTTTCACTTCTCTGGGTCAGATAATCAACCATTTCTTTCCTAATATCAGAAGCCACGGAACCAGGGTTCCTAAACATATCCCCAGTTGTGTTATCAACACAAGCCGAGGATAATCCAGGGAGAAAAGCTTGAGCTATCTTGCGAACTATTTCTGTGTCATAGAGTTCACAATGAAATGTGAGTCCTCTTTCTTTCTCATCTTCTCGCACAAGCTCCACGTCATTGATAGAAAGATCCATGCTTATGATTTCACCTACATTAAAGTTCATTCCACAAAACATGAATTAAAGCCAATAAACTATCATACCCACCCACCAATCAGTACCAAACGAATGTTAAAATGCTAGAATCAATATCATGTTTAATTTCAAGCAATCAAATGTGAATTTCTGCAAATCTCCTTGTAAAATTGTTGGCATTTGAGAAAGACACAAACTTTACCACTTGAAAAACAAAAAAAAATTCCATTAAAAAACCCTTCACACTATTGTCAAATCACCTCTTCTTCCTTTAAAATCTATGCATAAATCCTTAATGTACTTTTCGTGATGAGTTAAGAAGAAAAAACATCAAGAATTTTACCACATACACAGTAAGATACTTCAAAGAATACAAAAGGCTAGAATTTGCATTTACCTGGATTTATTTTCCAAATATGATGCTTTAGAGATCTGAACAGAGAAAATCACCAAATGGGATCTTAAAATTTTAGGAGATTTTCTCCATCTGTCTATTTTTAGCACCGTATGTGGCAGAGTTTTTAGCCCTCCCCCTCCCCCTCCCCCTCCTTTTCTCTTTTTTTATATACGTTGTTAACTGTTATAAACGACCCTTTAGTTGTTGACCATGGATTTACTAATTGACTATTATACCCCTCAAGTTTAAGCTGTAAAGGCCAATCCTCTGAGGTTGCTTTCCATAAAAAGCAAGGCATTAGGGACATTTTCTATCACGGGAGCATGCGAGTGGACGGTCCAAATTGAAATTGAATAAATTAATATCCAGGTGAATTTTCTCCATAACATTTTTACTAGTATTTTTCTCGGCAACCGAACAGGAATTGGGGTTTTTCAGAGAAACTTTTTCGAAGAATAATTTTTTTTTTTGTGGTGCTTTTTGGTTGAGCAGAGTAGAGTTCGGCAATGGCAACAGCTACATTTCCACCACCGCCACCGTTTTACAGACTGTACAAAGATTATATTGAAAACCCTAAATCAGCTCCAGAACCTCCTCCTCCTATTGAAGGCACTTATGTGTGTTTTGCTAGCAATTACACTGTAATCTCTCTTTCCCTCTCATTTTTCTCGAATTTTTTGCTCCAGTTTTGGAATTGCTTCGAAAGGGAATGAAAAAGAAGGTGATTTTAGTGTTTATGGAGATGTTGGTGTTCCAGTTTTGCACATTGTGTGTGTGTGCCTAGAGAATTTCCTTGTTTCTATATTTTTGGGAATTAGGGTTTCTCATTGGTGGTTTCATTTTGTTGTTTTATTTTAGACTGATGATGTGCTTCCAAGCTTAGAAGAGCAGGGAGTGCGACAACTGTACCCAAAAGGACCAAATGTTGGTATGTTTTACATCTACTTCATTGCTGCTTGATTGTATTTTTTTTATGAAAGCACACAATAATAATGATACAATTGAGGAATTTTAATGCATGCTGTATTAGCGAAATATTGTCTGTTTTCGTTTATAATTAAAAATATTTTTCCATTGAAGGTTGAGAGCTTGTAAGGGCACTTGGTGAATGTTAGGCCATTAGTTTGATCGTTGCACGACGGAATCTTTTAAAAAAAAATTCCATTAAAAAACCCTTCACACTATTGTCAAATCACCTCTTCTTCCTTTAAAATCTATGCATAAATCCTTAATGTACTTTTCGTGATGAGTTAAGAAGAAAAAACATCAAGAATTTTACCACATACACAGTAAGATACTTCAAAGAATACAAAAGGCTAGAATTTGCATTTACCTGGATTTATTTTCCAAATATGATGCTTTAGAGATCTGAACAGAGAAAATCACCAAATGGGATCTTAAAATTTTAGGAGATTTTCTCCATCTGTCTATTTTTAGCACCGTATGTGGCAGAGTTTTTAGCCCTCCCCCTCCCCCTCCCCCTCCTTTTCTCTTTTTTTATATACGTTGTTAACTGTTATAAACGACCCTTTAGTTGTTGACCATGGATTTACTAATTGACTATTATACCCCTCAAGTTTAAGCTGTAAAGGCCAATCCTCTGAGGTTGCTTTCCATAAAAAGCAAGGCATTAGGGACATTTTCTATCACGGGAGCATGCGAGTGGACGGTCCAAATTGAAATTGAATAAATTAATATCCAGGTGAATTTTCTCCATAACATTTTTACTAGTATTTTTCTCGGCAACCGAACAGGAATTGGGGTTTTTCAGAGAAACTTTTTCGAAGAATAATTTTTTTTTTTGTGGTGCTTTTTGGTTGAGCAGAGTAGAGTTCGGCAATGGCAACAGCTACATTTCCACCACCGCCACCGTTTTACAGACTGTACAAAGATTATATTGAAAACCCTAAATCAGCTCCAGAACCTCCTCCTCCTATTGAAGGCACTTATGTGTGTTTTGCTAGCAATTACACTGTAATCTCTCTTTCCCTCTCATTTTTCTCGAATTTTTTGCTCCAGTTTTGGAATTGCTTCGAAAGGGAATGAAAAAGAAGGTGATTTTAGTGTTTATGGAGATGTTGGTGTTCCAGTTTTGCACATTGTGTGTGTGTGCCTAGAGAATTTCCTTGTTTCTATATTTTTGGGAATTAGGGTTTCTCATTGGTGGTTTCATTTTGTTGTTTTATTTTAGACTGATGATGTGCTTCCAAGCTTAGAAGAGCAGGGAGTGCGACAACTGTACCCAAAAGGACCAAATGTTGGTATGTTTTACATCTACTTCATTGCTGTTTGATTGTATTTTTTTATGAAAGTACACAATAATAATGATACAATAGAGGAATTTTAATGCATGCTGTATTTGCGAAATAGTGTCTGTTTTCGTTTTTAATTAAAAAGATTTTTCCATTGAAGGTTGAGAGCCTGTAAGGCCACTAGGTGAATTTTAGGCCATTAGTTTGATTGTTGCGCGACGGAATCTTTACATGGCTGTTTGAGTGATTTATATGGAGTTTTGATGCTAAAAACTTACACCTAGAAAGCAACTGCATAGCGCATAACCATTCTATATTGTGTACTCTAGTTCCTGATAATACAACAGGGACAATCCAAATGAAAAAAATCTACTTAGACTCTCCAAAAAAAAATATGTATGGGGATGTATTGTGCCTGCTATTATCCTTTTCATATTGAGCTCCTTATATGGTCTAGGATTTGCTTAATGTTCTGCAAAGGGACAGAAAAAGACATTCTTGGTAAGAAATGGATGTAAAACCTCTCCTTATCCAGTTGTTTCACCATAAATGGATGTTATTGTTTCTTCTCTTTGTTTCTTTCTTTCGTTCTTTCTTTCTTTTTAATGATTTTGGTCTCTTGATATGCAAAACTGCAGGCTGATTGATATTCTTGTTTACTGTAGATTTCAAGAAAGAACTGAGGTCACTTAATAGAGAATTGCAGCTTCACATTTTGGAGCTTGCCGATGTTCTTGTTGAGAGACCTTCACAATATGCTAGGAGAGTGGAAGACATTTCCCTTATCTTCAAGAATTTGCATCACCTTCTCAATTCTTTGCGTCCTCATCAGGTGAAGTGCTTTTGAGGTATCTTGCACGCTTTGTTCTGATTCTGTCTGAGAATTAAATTCACTGTGTGAATGGTTTCCCCACAGGCTAGGGCCACATTGATTCATATTCTAGAGCTTCAGATACAACGTCGTAAACAAGCCGTGGAGGATATAAAGAGGTATCTTCTTGAATATCTTATTTAATGTTTGGAGCTTCTCGCAAATAATAGTCCTTTTTTTATTAATTGCCAAGGCATCTTGAATGAGTTTCTTTCATTCTTTTAACATCTTTGGTTCATGGTTAACCCTGAATAACATAACCACCTTATATCCTTTTGAGACTGAGGATCATGGGACTGGGGAAAGAACATGCTGGTATAGTTTCTTGAAAAGTGGTCTGGATATGGCAGACTGTTGGGAAAAATTTTGAGCACTTTTTACCATGGGTAGAGGGTTTCTATCTCATATGCAAGGAAACATTTAACAAGGTGGAGAAACGTTTCCACATTGTATTAGGCATAAAGGTTTCCTCCTTTGATGAACTGTATCATAGTCTGAACTATAGCGTCACTACCTCCAACAATGCCCTCTTCCAGAAGCAAGATCGCATAAATCACTAGATGTAAATTGGTTGTGTTTTCTACATTTGGTGGATTATCTTTATCTAGGCTGGTATTATCCATGCCTGGTTATTTTCCTCTTATGATATGGAGTGTTTGTTATTGACCAACAAGGGTTCATCTTTCTATTCACGTTAGTGATATTCAAATTGTAAATATGCTGAAACATCTCCTTACCGCTTCTTCCTTCACTTGTCTAGGCAGAGAGAAGAGGCGCAGAAGCTTCTCAAGGAGGCTCTCGGAACCCTAGCTGGGCAGTAGAGCATGGATTTTAGGTTTCATGTGTTGCCCACCCTGTTAGTTGGGTAGCCCTGCTCGCGGAATTTTTCCACAAGGCTCGTAGATTGCAGATTCAACTGGCATCTCAAGAGGGCCTCTTCATATGACAACCATTTATTTTTTCATTTTCCATTTCGCAAACAGATTAGTTTCTGCACTACTTCTGAAATTGTAGTTTAACAACTAAAGAATCTGCTTTAACAAGTAAAAGATTGCCTTCACTGACTCGAGCAGCGTTTAATTCTTCTGCAGTAAGGTATTGACATTGACGTCAAAAATCAATCCTTTAATTAAATCTTAGATTCTCTAAACCCAGTTATGAAGAGCCAGTAGTTAACTAATGACACCGAACAAAACCTTAATGTTCGTTTCAATTTGGACTGGATTGAAACATTAAAAGAGTTAGACATTTTTTGACACTCACACACTCTCTCTCGATCCCTTCAAATTAAATTTTGATGATATTTTGCAAAAGGAAGTAGAGAAATCGTTCTTTTTCAGAAATTATTTTTGACATTTTAATTTGGATTATAACCCAAATTCTTATAGTATAAAAATAATGAAGTAGCCATTTGATCAACTTTAACCATGCTTAATTTAGTTTTTTTGGTTTTCCTGATAAAATTTTCAGGTTTTACCAACTTGTCCTTTACTCTATTTAGTTAGTTAACTGCGTGACTGCTTCATAATCAAGTGCTAAATAGACATTAATTACACATTTTTTAGACCTTTCCTTTTAGGTCACTTAAATTTTGAGTTGTTTTTTTGCACTAATAAGGCCACTTAAATTTTGAGTTGTTTTTTAGCTTATTAGTGCAAGGAAAATGAAATAAATTTGCTAATTTTTGTAATCTTTTATTATTATTTAATCATGAAGATAGAATTAAATTTCTGCTGCTGTGGGTTTGGATTATTTATTTATATATATTAATATTTTTGTTGCTGGAGACGTCAATAGAGTTGGCGATAATAGGGGAAGATGGGATTGTACAGGCAACAGAGGAGAAGCCTTTATTCGGCACAATCGAAGATATTGCTGTTGTCCCGTGGAATGGTGAGTTCCATGAGCGGTCACCGTGGTTGATTATTTGATATAAAGTATTTAGAAGCACAGTATTGATTGTTTTTCAATTTTTTTATTAAAATATTTTTAAGTTCCATGAGCGGTCTTCGCAGTTGATTCTTTTTATTCTATGAATTCTTATCTCTTTATATGTTGTGCGTTACATGAAAGTTAACAAAGGAGTTGTCTTTTTTCTTTTTCGGAAGGTATTTATAATATTGGTAGCAGTTTTTTTAAAATATTTTTTATTTAAAAATATATTAAAATAATATTTTTATTTATTTTTTAAAATTTATTTTTAATATTAAGACAGTACAAAAATACTAAAAAAAAAAACAATACTTAAACTTATCTGGATTATCAAACTTCATTGTTAACCTAATAGAGAAAAAAACACAAAAAAATAAAAATAAAACTAAACTATCTACCAATTAGCTTAAGAAAAAAGGGAAACAAATTAAAAAAAAAAAGGTAAACTTTTTAAATTTGATCTTATTTTAAAAACTTACAACTAATTGAATTATAGACCTGAGTTCAATTAAAAAATTTAACCATCAACAAAAAAAAATAAAAATTAGGGTAAGATTTAAAAGAAAAGTAACAAAGAAGGGTGAAATATGAAGAATAAAATTTAATAATTCTAAATAAAATAAATAATAATTAAAAGAACAAGTATCATATTTAAAAGATTATAAAAGTATAGAAGATAAAATTTTAAAATATTTATAATTTGATATATTATTTATAAATTAAAAAATAACTGGAGAGAAATTGAAATAATATATATATAGATGGCTAACTCAATGGAGTCAAACCCAAAAAAATAAAAAATAAAAATAAAACAAAACAAAAAATTAAAAAAGAGAAAGAAAATAAGCTTAAAGAGAATAGAAAACAAAACTAAGCAAACCGAAAAACTAAACAAACCCGAGCGAACCTTTTAAATCTAATTTTATCTCTCAAACCTACCACTTGAAAATCCTAGAATTGGGTTCAATAAAAAAATTTAACTTGTAATAGATTTAATTTTAAAGAATGAAATCACATAAAAAATATTAATAAAAAAAACTTGAAAATGATGAAATTTAAAAGATAAAATAAAAATGATCACAAACAAAATAAATTACTATTAAAGAAATGAAAACCAAATTTAAAAGATTAAAAAAATCACAAGGGGTGAAATTGAATACCATTTATAATTTGATATATTATTTGTATATTAAAAATTGATAGAGATAAAATATAAAAAAATTGTTGAGGGCTAACCCTAATGATTCAAAAGGCAAAAAATAACAAAACAAATCGCAAAAATAGGATAAAACAAGAAAATATTAATTTAAATAAAGAAAAAATCAGACAAATCTCGCGAACATTGTCTAATCTCTAAAAGTCACAACCCATGAAATCTTTTACCTGAATTCAATAAATGTTTTCACTACATTCTTTAAAATGAAAAGTTATTTTAGTCATGTGTTTTTCTAAATTTATTTTAAATATACCATTAACTATCCTTCCAAACTTATTTACAAGTTATTTATTATTAATAAATGATTATTGAGCTAGTGTTGAATCATGAATCAAGAGTCTCACAACTCAACAAATTCTCGTAAAATGAGATAAACTAGTATTGTTGTGATCCTATATTGCTCTCTAGACAAAAAAAACTCATTGAATTATTACTAAACTTGTTTTAAAATTAAAAACATAATGATAAATCTACATTGACCCCTAAAAAATATGGAACATAATATTAACCTAATTATTAAAATTTAAATTTAATCAAAATATGAAGATAACTGGAAAAAAAAAACTTATTGACTCATTAATAAACTTATTTTAGATCAAAAACATCACGCTAAACCTACATCAATTTCTAAAAACTAGGAGGCATTAATGTAATGAAAACTCATCAACTCAATTTTAAAATTATTTTGAAGTTAAAAATATCATATGTATCCCTAAAAATTATAGCACACATTGATCTAAATGATAAAATCTAAGTTTCATCAAAACATAACATTAACATTATAAAAACTTGTATATGATATGTTTATTTTTTTAATAAATATTTACTTATAGTTATTTATAAAAAGATAAAAGTGCAGTTTTATAAACTAAAACTAACATGGACATAAAAAAAAATAGAGATAAATACTAACTTATTTCTAAAAATAGTTTTTTACACGCGCATGCAAAAAAGAAGAAGCATAATTTTACCAAACTAACTAAAATATGTAAAAGTGAAGTCAAAAGAAGTAGTAATCATGAATGAATAGTATAATGTACGTTATTTTTATCATTAAATAGTAACCTGTTTTTACACTAAGTTAAAAAAGAAAGGAAACTAATTTTTTAAAAAACGAAGCTAATGTAAATACGAAACCTATAAAAATGAAACGAAAATACATTAATGAATATTAACAACTTATGAATAGTAACTCTAATGTGATTCTCCCCTCTCTTAGCTCTTATTCAAACAAACTTCAATGCCTCAAGCTCGAAACTCCCTTTTTTTTTTTTCCCTCTCTCAATCTCAGGTCCCCTTCTTTTGTCTTTCTTTCACTATTTATATTTAGGGACAGTCTTCTAGAAACTCTTATAGGTGGCTTGATGAGTCTATGAGGAAGAATCATAGCCCCTAAAGTACGACCAGCCAGCCTTTTTTAGCCTCATTTTGCAATGTTTTCACATGGAAAAGAGTGGTGACGATGGAGGAGGGGATGCCAGGGAAGGGAATGGGTTGGGTTTTTTTTTTTTTTTTTTTTGTGGGCTATGTTGGGGTGTGTGGACGGAAGGATAAAATTCCATCATTTGGGAACGGGTGCCGTATAGAAAAAAGGATGATGATGAGGACGTGCACTAAAACGGTGTCGTTTTCGTGCTTCTCTTTCTTTTTCAAAACTGCGTCATTTCTCTTGGAGGAGGAAGTTTCTTTTAAAAAAAGTTGATCCTCCAAGATTGTTGATTTTTCAGTTTAAAACGGTGTTGTTTTGGTGCTTGTTGTTTTTCAGATTCTTTTTTCTTGTTATTGGTTTTTTTAAGCGACAATAAAAATTATGCAAAAATTATAATAACACTCCAGATAATAAAAATTTAGAAAAATTACGGAAATCAAAGTTAAAGTTTGATTTTAAAAAAACTCTCTTTTTTAGCAATTTTTGTTTCTTTTTTAGACAAGAATTTTTTTTCCTTTTTTTTTTTCCTTTCATTTGTTTTTGATACGAGATTAAAATTGAATTATGATAACTAAAATTAAATTACGATAATCAAAATAAATAAAAAATACATAATATTTTTTAATAAAACATTTACAAATAAATATAAAAAATTAAAAAAATTAAAAATTATACAAAATTATTTTGTATCATCTAATTTTTATATGTATAAGGGTATTTAGCAAACTAACGACGGTTAATTTTTAAGTGTTTTTTATTTTAAAACATACTAAAATAATATTTTTAAAAATTTATTTTTAATATGAATATATCAAAATAATATGAAATTATCCAAAAAAATTAATTTAAAATAAAAAAATTAATTTTTTAAAAAATCACTTTTAAAATGCCAAGCACTTTAATGGCATAGAAGACAGTTGGAGACTTGTATATATGGATACAGTTGAGACCAATCTGCCTTCCTAGATACAGCTTCAAGTGGCTTCTTTCAACACTGCTTTCTCCTTCCATCAAGATAACTGACAACGCCAAACCGCTAACAAATTTGACATTAAGATTGAAGCAAATCTTATTTATTATTTATGATCATTTGCAGAAAGAAAGAAATAGTGGTAAGGTTGGTTGTTGGGTTTTCTTTTTTAATTAGGTTA